AGCATGTGCATAGTTCACAGCCCTCTGCTCCAAAGGAAGACCTGCCCTGTCCATGTCAGGAATAGTGAACTTCTTGTAGTATCTGAGAAGGAAGAAAGAAAACATGTCAGTCTGATACTGTAGTAATTCTAGAGCATTCAACAGGAAACATTACCATCTATCAGAACAAGTACTTTTTTTGTCAGAAATAACAGCTAAAACAATACTTACTTTTTGTTGGTTGTTCTAACAATGACACATCTGTTGTCTGTGTCAACTGTGACATTATAAATTTCTATTGGGTAGGGAAGGTTGCGGATTCTCCACATAAACGCTTTTTTGGTATCTCTTCTTGTAAAAATGGGCTGGAAAATAAACAAATTCATATCATTATTATTAATGAACTCCTCTATATAGCATCACAGTGATATTGATGCAATCTAAACAAGAAATCAAAGATTTCAGACTTCTGGGAAGTAATTTGGGTTTTTGAGAATTCATTAGAATTAAGAGCTTGTGTTTCCATATAAGCTCCTTGATAAGAACTTAGGAGACTGTATGACAAACCAAGGAGCTTACCCATATCAGCTCCTTGGACAAACTTAGGTGCACAGAATACAAACCCACTCAGAGAGCCACCCAAAACAATACCTCTGTGCTGGACATCCTGACTTATCATGTATGTAACAGCCTTCATCATTGATAAAAAGCTCCATCTATCAGTTTACCCAAGAACAGAAGCATGCATGTACACCAGTAGCAAACTAGCACATGAAGGTGATGTCAACACCTACGTTACTGCTACTTTCCACCATTCCCTGTGTCTCCATGGCAGCAGGCCGGAACACCTGGGGGTCACCGACCTCTATCTCCCAGGTACCCGCGCCTCCCAATGTTCCCTTTTTCCTCCATTTCCTCACTGTGGGGGGAAAAAACAAATCAATTGTCAAAACATGTTATTTCTCAAACAAAATCAACGGAAAAATACAAAAGCAATTTTGACGTCAAAGAAACCTTTAGGTTGTACATTTTTTTCAACACTCTTCTTCATTATTAGTACCTCTGATCCTTCTTTAGGTAGCAGTGTTTATCTTAATCTGCTTCTGTGTAAATAATACCATTGTATACGCCAAAAAGCAGTGGATACCAGCTGAAAATAAACGTCTGACGTTTTCAAAATCATATCCAGTTGCTTGAGTAACTGCTTTTTGGCATATCGTATTACCTGGATGTCTAACCTTCATCGACGTAAATACCATTGTATGTGATGTAATAAGTCATATAAGTGAGAACAAGTGACCCTAAACTTTACTCCTATTGAGTCCTGGTTCTCAATCATACAATTTATAGACGCATACAATGTAAGTGAGATTAGCACTCAAGAACTCACACAAGAGATCATTGGTCTTCACATCATATTCCTCTGCCATCTCCTTGCCATCCGCAAACTTAAAATGGACCTTTTTCTTCCCTGGACAAAAAAGAGAACAATGAAGCACATCATTCATAACATTTGCTTACATTTCAGCTTTGCAACTTTTCCCACAGCTCTGAACATGATGTGCTAACCCTTCTCTAGATTTCACTGGTTGGATGAGTACAGTGTAGGCGTGTTGCAATATTTCCCCCCATAATTTTCACACCTGTTCACATGTTGAGTGTGCTGCCAGTGTGCACATTTTTCGTACTGCAGTTCAGTTACGTTAACTTGATGCACAATTTAACAGGCTTCTCATCAAACTCATGCTTTGAATAAAAAAATAAACATCACATCAGTGTAACGTCAAATGTTACCGCCCCCCTCCCCATGCCGATTGCAATTTGTATCTTGCAGTCATACTTAAAACCAATTGACTCCGCTGAGCTACGTTATTGATACACAAGCTTTGCATGACAGTGTACCTGATGACTAGGAACACTTTAGCGTACTCACCGTCCTGAACGAGCGCAGTTTTCTCCGCTGACTGCAGGTAACTTAACCACTCACTGTACGACGCCATGTTGAATTCCCAGTGCACTCTGGGGCTACGGGAAGCTTCTAGCGGCAGTTACCATAGCAACCGCCAGGTGAGCCCTGCCCTGGGCCTTACCGGATGTCATCAGAATTTGATATCAACCTCTCTTCGGAAATTTTCACCCTGCTTCTTTACTGTGTATCGCCCCATGTTCAAACATGCCTTCCCGTTTGGACAAAATATGATAAAAGAAATTAAAATGATTTGCTGGCATGCTGCCACCTGTTGGATCAACGTTCTCCGCTGGCGCTAGACAGATTGACGGACTGATACACGAATGGATGAACGTACTAGTATATTGCTAGCATGCTAATCACCACATTGCAGCAAGGAGCTGTAACTTTATAGCCTGGGTACCATCCTGGTTAGTTTACGTCCGCTCCTACAGTCGCTAGGTGGTAGCGACTGTAGGAGCGGACGTAAACTAACCAGGATGGTACCCAGGCTAGTAACTTTATATATAAAACAGCTTTCAGCTCATTCATTGCAGCAAGAGAGGATGAGCCATGAATTGTGATTGGGACACTAGAATATAGTAACGTTAACGTTAACTTAAAGATTCAGAAGTAGCAACTCAGCATTGCAAGATCATTTTGCATAGTACTGCAGGCTAGTACTCAGTTATATGCATTGGTATCTACATCGATCCTCCCAGTATCTGCTTTGAGTTCGGCTCCCTGGTGGCTCAGGTATGAGCGACCTCTAGAGAAATTATTAAAAACTGCAGATGAACTTTGCCCTACCAGCTGGTCCCGTCTTGTGACAGTGAGTTTGCTGCATGCATGGATAACACCAGACATGGAAGTCGTTAACGGGAACGATCAAGAGTCGCTCCTGAAGAGCAGCGTCAATGTTGAGAGATCGACTACAGACTACAGGGTCTACAGAAGACGCTGGTTCATTCTAGCAGTTCTGTGTGTGTTGAACCTGAGCAATGGAACCGTGAGTAACATGGACCTACTAGTAACGTTACATATACTCAAAACCCTGTGACCGCGAGTAACCTTTACGTTTTACCGGCCAGTCCACCATTAAATGTTAACCTCGCACGTGCACGTGTACTGATTATTGTAGAAAGCAATACACGTACAATATTATATTAAATAGTATATACGTAATATATTATTGTCATCCTGGCATGCATTTTTAGTGGTTTTATCTCAGCAGCCCCACCCTAAAACACACTGCAGTGCAATGGCATTAATTATTGGCCCTTAATTATGTTAGGTTTGCACATTAATGTAGGAATTATTTGTTGTGTAAGTCATATATCATAGCCATGCCAGCCAACAACACAAGAACAAAAATACCCAAATCCAGTACTTATCATAATTTTGTCTTCTTTGATACACTGGTGTCATATTGATTAAATTTTTCCATCTCAAATATGTTGCCATAAGGCAGTTATATGATAGTCACAGGGAGATTGATGTGCCTATAACCCCCTTGGTCAGCATAAACGTGTTTATCTTGATGTTGCAGATCTGGCTGACCTTTGCCCCCATCGCGGACCAGACAGCGGAGTTCTATAACGTGTCTCTGACCACGGTGAACTGGCTGTCTCTGGTGTACATGATCGCTTCCATCCCCCTGGGTCTACTGGCAACCTGGCTCCTGGATACTCTGGGACTGAGAGCAGGGGTATGTTCTGTTTGTAGTGCTCTTTTATTGTGAATTTTTTACTAATCACCAGTTGTGTCAAGATCAAACTGATAAGTATAATATTACATAAATTACAGCATAAGCCATGTACTGGACGTTTTCTTCTGTTTCTTCCGATGACTTCAGATCATCCTGGCAGCATGCCTGAATCTGATTGGTCCTGGTCTGAGGGTGGTGAGCGCCATCCCAATGGACATGTCCGACTCTGTACGCTTTCCCTTGGTGCTGATTGGTCAGACTGTCGCTGCTGTCGCTCAGCCATTCATCATAGAGTCTCCCGCCAAGGTGGCTGCTGTGTGGTTTGCACAAAACGAGAGGGCCACTGCCAACATGATTGGCTCCATGTGTAAGTATCAACTGTGTGTTGGAACATGTTGCCTTGTTGTTTTTTACTTCCACTTACATTTTTGGGGTCTGACCTGTACATGTGTTTGTGTGTCAGTTTGTACAGACAGAGTAGGTTGGCAACATGTATGTGGGGGAAGGTTGACAGGCAGAATGACAGGATGTTCAAAGGTCAGACACAGGAAATGGGGTGAACTTTAGTGTCACGAAAACCCAAAGTACTCCCCAGAAGTCTGAAATCTCTAATTTCTCTTGTTTAAATTGAGTGAGCAGTTTTATTTGTAACAGAGTTTGCAAGCCTAATTCAATGATGTTTTATTCCCAGTGAAGTTAGGAACCTGCAGCTGGTGAGTCAAATTGGACACATTAGAAGTTTTCAACAATATAGTTTGTATATGTCATATGCCAGTATGTCACTTTGTTTTGTCCATTTTTCCCCAGCGAATCCTCTTGGCCTGCTGCTGGCTAACATCCTCTCCCCGGCTCTGATTACCACAGACAAGCACGCTGCCAATGATTTTGTACTATTGGTATGGGAGATATGTTTCCTTACTTTTACTTATTTTGTTTAAGTTGAGCATTAGACAGGTAACATTCCTGTGCTTTAGAAATCAAAGAAATTTCAGTCCAGAAGAATAAAACAAGATGCAAA